CACGGATCGAACATCATTAATTAATTCTTCAACTGTTGTATCAAAACTAGTATGAAAACTAGATGGATACTGTATGAGCAAATGTACATTAGGCACTAATCAGAAAAAGAAAGTCTTCTTAAATTTCATTTTTATTTTAAACTTATATAAACCCTTGTGGCCCCATAAACATATGGTTTGATTGTTGTAGAACAGCCATCAAAAAAGAACATTTGTAGATCATCGCATTGCTGTGGTTTTGAAAATGTTTTTTTTTGTTTTTTTCTAGTATCAAAAAAGAAATGTAGTATTGTGACAACTTTATATAGAATTTCAAAAGAAACGTGGAATTACATAATCCGGAGCACTAATAATAATTGTAGTAATAAAATCAAATAATTGCAGACTATTTGAACCATGGTTTGTGTACAGCTCTATTACAACTAAACAGGAAGCCCGACAGCATTTTCTCCAAAAAGAGCATTTAAAAAAAAAAATGAATTTAAGAGATCCTTTATTTATCTCGCAGTGGGGAAATGTCAGTGTCGCATCACCAGTTTCAAAGCAGTAGGAATGAGGAGCACACAGCACAAGATAAATTAACATAACAATTAACTCTATACTAATATGAAATAAAATCTCCAACTTGGCATAGTATGAAAGCAAGAATGAAGTTTAGAATAATAAATAAATCTTGGGTAAATTATAGAAAGGATCGATTGCACTCATAAATATTTTTGTTTTTCAGTCTGTTTATTTTATTTTGTTTTTTTTATTTAAATCTGGCTTGTATCACATCTTGTTAATCCATCATGCCCTGCGCCCTCCCATCTCAGCTGTTCCTGTGCACTCTTTAAAACAGCAGCCAATAATCCGTGCACACGAACAGCTGTCGGACCTCATCTCCGCTCCACATCTGTCCTGCGACGGCGGTGAAAGGGGTCTGGGCACGAGCCGATTGGTGCTGCAATAGGTTCCCACCCTACGGTCCCCCACGTGTTTGTGTGTGTGTATGTGTGCTAGCCTTAGCCCTAGCCTCCTCTGCCGGGCCACATTATTGATGGAGCACTTCACGGGGGTAAGCTTTTGTTGTTGTTCAAGTGGGGGGGCTGCTCCTCTTCTCTCTCCCTTTTGTCTGCATAAGGTTGAAAGATTCCCCTGGTGGTGTTTTAGCTGTATCGTTTGAATAATAATATTTGAATGCTTGCATTTTATTTTAAACCTGTGATGCTTTCTGTAATCTTCAATTGAGCTGGGATGCCAGACAAAAATGAAATCCATCCACGCATGATTTTTTTTTTTTTATCTATTTCCTCCCAGTTTAAGTTGATACAAGAGAGCATGTCTAGTTCTTGCTTTATTCCATGCTGCCCAAGAGGTCCTCAGAACAAAAGCCCTCTCTTGGCACGTCGCTAATGGATTAACCAAGCATGATAAACACCCACTTCTCTCCAGCCCACTTCCACTCAGCTGCTTCCGGACCATTGCTGTTGGGAGCGGACGCTTTTTGAGAATGTTCTTTGATGAATTGCAAATTTGGGCATAATCCTGTACATATTTATGCTTCACCTAATGCCAAAAGTGTGGCTCTGTCTGCCACCTCACGTTTGACCTAAATACCCATACACTGCCACTCTGCCCATCCCCCTGGCCTGCTCTCAAGACACTACCCTTATGATCGACATGGAAAGGTAGATTCTTTATTATGATTTTTTATATATATATATATATATATATATATATATATATATATATTTTTTTTTTTTTTTATACTATGTTTCACTGCAAAAGGTTTTAATTTTAGTTAAATTGTGCATAGTTGGTTTTTATATAGGGTTGCTGGACTTTCAGATCTAAAAAACTATCAACACTCGTGGTAGAGGCAGACGTTTCCATGACTACGTGTGAATGAGTGCATGCAGGCTGTTCACACCCCGCAGAGTGTTTTCTCTCCCAGTGCAGGTGTTTTGGTCTGTTTATTGAACTTCAGTCTTGGAAATAACTTATGATAGCTTTAGGAAAGGGTTGTGAAAATAAGTCATTTTAGTTTGACATAGAAGAATCTTTCTCTTCAGCTCAAGATTGGTGTTTCTCAAAATTGAAGGTTATGATGTTGATAATAGTGTCAGGGATGAAGCAGACAGAGACGATCGTGGTGCGCCAAACTCTGGAAGTTTATTTAAGTTTCTCTCAAGTTCCAGTGGGTTCCATTGTTTCCTTCTCTCAGGCAGAATAAAGGCAGTACACAGTTTATATAGTCATTGTCACGTCACACATCGAAAGACATACGTGTCACACAGAGACAGTCACATCATAGTCAAAATAATCAGAGTCCTTGTAGAGTCCTGCACGTAGGCCATATTGCTATCTAATACTAACAATAGAGATAGAGATTTTTATGTGTCTATTTTTCCCTCATCCCAAACTCAGGATAAAGGAAATGTCTTAAGGGGCAGCATCATACGGTGGTATAGCTCACAGAACTCTTGTTTCAGTTTCCACTCAAAGAACATGTACAATAGCGTCATAGTAAAGGTACATGGGTACATTGATAAATGTAATGTAATGAGTGAGTTAACGGTTTGTGACTTCCTTGTTGTCACCATCTGGAGTGAATGGAAAATGCCCACAACAATTGTGAAGCACTTTGTGATTCAAAAATCAGTTTATCACCTAATCCTAACCCTATGTTTTAAAGGATGACTGTGAAGTGAGGGTATTACTACAATACCCTGCAGCACTGCAGTCTATAGAGATGCAGTCGATGCATGTATTCTTATTTGGTTAAAGCTCAGAAAGGTATTTGTACTCAGAGCTGATGATGTAGCTGATTATGTGGACAGTGCATAGAGCAGTGTTTTGGGAAATACTCACAACACTAGGGCTATTGTGAGAACAGAGTTTATTGGTTTTGACTCAAGATCAAGACTTTTTTTATTGTCAAAATAGAAACGTTTTACGAGAGTGCTTTGATCATGACATTCATTAAATTATGTTGTGTCCAGTCAAAACAGTTGTCTATGGCCTTTGTTTTCCTCCATAAGCTGTTTGTGTACAATAGAACATGAAAAACTGTGGTTTAAATGTAGGTGCGCTTAATAGTCCAGCAAGTACTGTACTTTAACTCAAGCTAAAATGACAGTCTTTAGTCATTCTGTTTCGTCTGCCTTTGAGACATGTGCTGCCAGTGGTGTTTTCATACCTTCAGAAAAATATTTGAGAGACAAAACATTGGCTTTGACATTCTGACTTTGGCCTTTTATCTGTATAGTATACATTCCAATCCTTTCGCGACCTGCAGCATTCGTGTTTAGCATATTGTTGTTTCTGACCAGTTTCAAATTATGAGCGGAAATGCGGCGTAAAAGATCACAGCGCTGTTACAGCTTGCTCATCAATAACAACAGTGTGGCTCTGAATCTAATGGGCTGTATTGACATTTAGAATAAACACCCGTCTCTCGTCGGAGCTGGCATTTCAAATCCGCAGGAGAGAATGTGCCTAAAGAGAAGCCTGCGGGAACTGCTTGTCTCTCTTTAATAATCTGTTGTAACATTTATTGATGAAGTGATTTCTGAACGAAGATGATGATGACCCAGGAGAACGATACCAACTCAAGTTTTTATGGATCAGACGTGTCACATTTACAGCAGTTGCACCTGGGTCATATGTAACTATTTCTATCCTTTGCGTACATTTTTTCATTGTGAGATCAATAAAATTCATCTTGTCAAAGACGGCAGATGGATGGCGCTGTCGTTCCTGTGTTTGATTCCACCTCCAGGCCTTTCTGTGTGGTTTGCATGTTCTCCTGTGTCTGCATTGGTTTCCTCCGGGTGCTCTGGTTTAGTGAGTGAGTGAATGGGGTCTCGCTTCTGTCTTCACTGTGTGTGGTGAGAATGAAAAATATCAACTCCAAAGACATTGTAAAAGTGCCTTGGTCTGTAAAATGCACTATATGAATAATTATTACTTACTTACTTACTAAAGAAGTATCGTAAACTGAATACTGCCATGTCTCACACAGATTGAAGAGAAACTCATTTTCTGTGGCATTGCTTCCCAAAGACATTGCCATCTTTTGCAACAGGCCCCGAGTCGAAGGAATTTCATAATCAAGACAGGAAAACAAAAAACCCGTAAAATTTTTTACGTGATTGACGTGAAATGTGTTCATTTCTACATCAATCACTTAACATTGTGACATCACTTAGCCGTAAGCATCAACAATTATGAACATTTATGGATGTGTTTTTTTTAATCATTTCTTGTGTTTGATTCTCTGATCTGTGTTAGCAAATTCAACGGTTTTGTAAAGTCTTCCAAGATAACTTCTGTTGTGATTTAGGGCTATACAAAAATACATTGAATTGAGAATAAATGTAATTGATTAAGCAATCCCATGTGTACCAGTTGCCCCGCCCCATCATTGATTTTTTTTTTTCAGAAACTCGTCTGAAATTGCATTATTTGACGAGCTCCAGTTGGCTGAATAAATCGATTTATTTTATGTTTTATATTTTAAGCAAGTTTTCTATTACTTTAGTTTACTTGAAGTTTTTTTGCATGGATTGACGGAGATTCCGATAAGCAAATTACAAGATTTCACTTTCATTTTGATACATGTAGAAGTAGCAGGGTTAAGAAGAAGAATGTCCTTTTTTTTGTCCCACAGTAGGAAAATTTCAGATTGAAGATACACACATCACGGCATGCAGCAAACATTACTTCTGCTCTATATAGGCAAAGTGGGTTAAGTGTCTTGCCCGTGGACACAATGGTACTGTGGGGTTAGGACTCAGGGTTGGTACAGTGGAGGGAAATGCCCCCGAAACCTATGGCTACATAAAGATGGCCCTGCTTAAAGATCACAGCCAATTAGCCAATATTGTCACAAATGGAGGTTGTATCTGTAACAAAATGTAAAGATGGATGTTTAACGTAGCCCGCTTGTGTTTTTCAGTGCATGAGGACCCTCTGTTCTGTTACGGCCTGAAATCAATCTGCCAACAGCTGGGAACATGTCTGGAGGCTACGATGAGACCGCGAGTCAGGAGGAGACCAGTGACAGCTTCTGGGAGGTGAGCCATAAGTGATCTATCAGATAATCTAAACGGCCATCTTTCTTCCTACACATCCAGCTAAATACATCCTCTAACGGAGCAGGTTTGCATTTTTGCCACATCCATCCAAAAGCAGGGCCTGGTATGGTACATTTGCATAATAAAAGCATGAATCATGAATTTTGCCACAGAGATAAACGATAAACGAATTTATGACAAAATGTAAATATATATATTATAACTGGTCTTGAAATTTATTTATTCAAACTTTTGTATTTTGTTTTCCTTCATGGTAGTCTCAGGGTCAGGCCTAAATCATTTAAAAAAATTGTTTAATTTGATGTAGCCATTTAAAAGTCCTAAAAGCTGTACATTTTTCAACATTTGATAAAAGAGAATTTAATTTGAACAATTGTGGCATTAAATATTTTGCCATATTGTCTGCGCTTAAGTACTTTTAAAGGTCTTTGTTCATCCCTCACTTCCATTTATGCCAGCACTACATCTTTGAGACATTTTTCTTGATTCCCAATTTTTTTTTTTGGTAAAAAATTATATAGCAACAGATTTTCCATAAACAGCCTTAAAAATGGAACTTAATAGGCCTTGCCCAAGTCTGAAGCTAACATGTTATTTACTGATTATTTGAATTAGATACATTTGTTAGTATATTATGTTACTAATATACTGTATGTATATAAATGTGTCAAGCTCAAAATACAAGTCCAGGTTCTTATTTATGTAGTTCTGCTAATTCTGCTGGTTTTGCCTGAAACAGTGACATCACCAGCTTCCTCCCTCCGCTCAAACAGAAGAAGAACAAGTTCCCAGAAGCCGATTAATTATATATAAAGTTGCTGAGTGGCAACAATGAGGAGAGAAGGCTACAGAGAAGGCTGTAGAGAAGGCTACACTTGACACTAATAATAATTGTTTTCTGAGAAGCCTGGACACTATTCTCTCTTTTGCACAATCTCAAAGTGCCAGGACAAGTCCGGCTTTGTTTTCAGAATAAGATCAAGTAGCCAAGGTGTTATCTTGTGCATGCCTTATTCTATTCTCCACTTTTTAACTTGTTGTACCGAGAACCAAAGCACTTTCCTAGTTTGTGACTTTTTTTTACTCGAATGGTAATAAAATAATTCTTATTCTGTATACCAGGTTCAGTCTCTGCATTAGGACCATAGACTGTAAATATGAGGCTGCTGCAGTGCTGCTGTTACTGCTGCTGACTCTGCTGCAAACAGCCAGCATGTGTACCATAGATGTGGCTTTCTTTCACTGGACTTTACAGGAGACTTATTGAGTAAAATCTATGTTTTTGTTTTCGCTTTTAACCATTACAACAATCCCCCCCCCCCCCCCCCATCAAATCCATCCATTCCTTGTTATAAGGGCTTTCTGATTGGAATTTGCGTGCTGTGTCTGTGTCTGCGAGCATCAACATCTGGCCTCAGTGGCAGGGCACAGCACAGTAAGGCTCAACCTCACTAACTAAACTAACACTTTTCAAAATAAAAGTATTGCCTTTAAATAGTTTTGGCCTTTTTCCACTTGAAATTACATCGTATGTGCTGTGTTTGCGGCTGACAATTGTAAAATATTGTTAAAAAAACACACACAAATTGAACTCCCTCTGGTGGTAGCATAGAGGGAGGAGAACTTTATAATTTTCAAGATATTTTTTCACCACAACATGGTGGTTGAGTGGATAGCACTCTTCTCAGATATATTTATATATAGATCTATAATAGATCTACATATCTAATAGCAAATGGATCTTAGGTTCGAATCTCAGTCGGAAAAGGGTCTTTCTGAGTGGAGTTTGCATGTTCTCCCCGCATCTGCGTAGGTTTCCTCCGGGTGCTCTGCTACCACTGCTCCTGACGGAAGACCTAGTGGCATCAGAGGACTAAGTCCCCTACTGGGACAATTAAGTGCAATTTTAAAACATGTAAACAGTTTTATTACCAGTTGCTTGGTCATTCAGTCTCTGTAACATTTATAAGTTTGCATAAATGTATCTGGCACATTTTGATTTGCCAATGTGACAAGCCAAATTATCTTGTTTTAAAAAGATACAAGAAATATCTCCCTTCACTTTGTCCCTTCTGCAAATCTTGTTTTAAGACACTCATACTGTACTAAAATTAAGAATAAAAAACACTAGATTTAAGCATTTATTATCTCACAGTTTGAGCATTTTTTGCAGTGCAGGTGGCCTTTGCTTGTGTACCACTGATCTGTTGTCTGTCTGCTGGCACAGCTAACATTTTCCTGGGAGGCGGCTGCTGCTGTGTCCATAAAGGATTGTAAATTATATGACATTAATCAAACATTGGCCTTTGCAGGATAACTCCAGTCACCCAGAGGCCCTTTCTCACCAACTCCCTGTGGGCCCTTCACAGTTCCACTTGTGGGACATTTTAAAAGCATACATCTAAATTCAGATCAATTTGGCTGCAAAAGTGAAGCTGCAAAATGACCCCTGACCCACACATGACCAATTGTTAGTTTTGTCTATTAATTTACTTAAACAAATCTATAGTGATGGATCTCTAAAATAAGATATCACCAAGTCCTTGCATTTGTTATTTTGTATTATCTTTTTCAAAAATCTTTAATCCCCATTCTTTATTCATACTTAATACTATCCATAATTCCTTGTCCTGTAGGTTGGAAACTACAAACGAACAGTAAAGAGAATTGACGATGGTCACAGACTCTGCAACGACCTGATGAACTGTATTCAGGAGCGTGCCAAAATAGAGAAGGCCTACGCACAGCAGCTGACGGAGTGGTCGAAGAGATGGAGGCAGTTGGTGGAAAAAGGTATGAAGGTTACAGAAAGTACATGTGTAAGTTTGTAGTTAAAGGGACTAACAGTTGTTTCTTGTTCAGGTCCTCAGTATGGCACAGTGGAGCGAGCCTGGGTAGGAGTTATGGCGGAGGCGGAGAAGGTCAGCGAGCTCCACCAGGAAGTGAAAAACAGCCTCATCAATGAGGACTTTGAGAAAGTGAAAAACTGGCAAAAAGACTCTTATCACAAGCAGATGATGGGAGGTTTCAAGGAAACCAAAGAGGCAGATGAGGGCTTTAAAAAGGCTCAGAAACCATGGGCCAAGAAGCTCAAAGAGGTGATTGGCAGCTACCAACCAAAAAGGTACTACACCTTTGCTTCAATGTTTAAAATGTTTGTTTTTTAGTTGGAAACCGCCAAGAAATCCTACCACATGTCCTGCAAAGAGGAGAAGCTGGCTTCCACAAGGGAGGCCAATAGTAAAGGAGAGGCCTCAGTTGCAGCGGACCAGCAAAAGAAACTTCAAGAGAAAGTGGAAAAGTGTAAACAGGATTCACAGAAGGTGAGTGTAATGTTATCGAAGGTATTGTTTTATGACTGAACCAGATCTGAGGGCTTTGAAACTTCCACATGTGGAACTGTTCTGTACTTGTCTTGAATATGAATAAAAACACAATGATTGTAAAATTGGTGATGTGTTCAGGCGAAGGACAAGTACGAGAAGGCTTTGGAGGAGCTGAACAAGTGCACGCCTCAGTACATGGAGAACATGGAGCAGGTGTTTGGGCAGTGTCAGCAGTTTGAGGAGAAGAGACTGGCTTTTCTCAGGGAGGTGCTGCTGGACGTCAAACGACATCTCAACCTCACAGAGAACCAAAGGTATAATAAATACAGATTTTGAAATGTTCTCTCTGATGTAACCAGTCTTCTCTTGTCTTCAGTTATTCTACAGTATATCGTGACCTTGAACGCACCATTACATCAGCAAGTCCATTAGAAGACTTGAAGTGGTTCAGTAGTAACCATGGTCCAGCCATGCATATGAACTGGCCACAGTTTGAGGTACAGACTGGGACTACATTTGCTCCCGGTCTTACTTTGAATGTTTGGTTCTAACATGAATGCGTTCTGGGTTTAGGAGTACAACCCAGACTTGGCCCACAGCATCACAAAGAAGGAAAAGTCAAAGAAAAGCAATGAAGGAGTGACTCTAACAAATGTCTCACATGAAGTGAACCATGCCCCAGCAGGAGACACTGGGAGGTCAGTCCCTTTTTACCCTTTTCTCATAATACTCATGCGTAAGTGTAAAACCATGTGGTTTTCAGTGTAAGCAGTTATGAGAAGAACCAGGCCTCCACTGAGTGGTCGGACGAGGATCAGACGGCTCCTAACTCTGGTAACGACACAAACGGAGGAACAAACCCATTTGATGACGACGCAGGGAAAGGCGTGAGAGTGCGAGCGCTGTACGACTACGAAGGTCAGGAGCAGGACGAGCTGAGCTTCAAAGCTGGTCAGTACTATATCTACAATCATTTCATCTTTTATGTTTATTAGGGCTGGGGAAGTGATCATGTTTATTCTCCTCATTAATCGAATAAATAATAAATGGACACATCAATGAATTTCACCCCCACCCGGTGCTGCCTTTGTGCCTACTGTACACTTGGCAAAAGAGAAACATGTTTGTTTGCTCTTGTGCCTGTCCACCATATACTGATTTACAGTATCATATTTACTTAGTGCTTTATACAGTATTGTATTTGTACTTTTTTTTTTGTTGGATGGGGCCATGCGTATTCATGAACAGGAGGAGCCATAAATACATCAGATGGTAGCTTTGTAGCTAATTTCCATCTGTAGTCCCACAGTCACACTCACTCATTCAACCCTCACCTGTGGCACATGGTTTTAGGGAGAATCCAGAGTAAACCGACGCAGACACAGAAAGAACATGCAAACTCCACACAGAAAAGGTCCTGGAGGTGGAATCAAACCCAGGACATTCTCATTGTGCTCTCTGCGATTAGATTAGGTCACTCCATTACAGGCCCCACCCACACTAGTAATGCTCCACTCAAAGATGTAGTAAATGATTTTATCCAGACGCATTTTTTTAAATACTGTGGGGAAATGTCCCTAAACCCCAAAAGTAGTCAAGTAATCATGTGTCAAGTTTTGCTAATTTTGTTAGGGGAAGCTAGCGCTTGTCAGGTATGGCAGGGAGGCTCCGTCACAGACTGCGATATTACAGAAACAGCTTTCATGTGTGCTGGGAGATGGGCTTGGTGGAGGGCAGGGGGAGGGGGATACATAAAAAGTTCAATAGAAAGTTACCAACATAGAAACAGTCCCAGGTCACAATGTGCAGGATACAATGTAATTTGTCAGTAACTGGAAAAAGTGCAAATTACTGGTATAACGTGCAAAACCAGTGCAGCATTTAGCAGCGAGATATAAAGTGTAACAACATTTTCAAACAAATCTGCCGCAGGTGAGGAGCTGATGAAGCTGGAGGATGAGGACGAACAGGGCTGGTGCAAAGGTCGCCTGCACAGCGGTCAGCAGGGTCTGTATCCAGCCAACTACGTGGAGTTGATTTGACTTTCGGCTCTGGACAAAGGACTGAGCCTCCAGTGACACTGCACATTGCCAGGGACTTTGAAAGCAGAACCTCCTCTTCCTGTCAGGCACGCTGTCCTCACACCTCACGCCCGCTGTATTCTGCGTCATCTTCAAACACTGCAGCTTCAGATCTTTGGTTTGTGTGCCGTATCTGTCCATGGTTTGACAGGTATGGTTCTGTGCCTGCCTAGCAAGAAAGAGCTATGCATTTTGCCTTCATCTATGTATTTGCATTTTTTTTACAGTTCAGATGCTGTACAGTCGTTGCCGCAGTGACTGCTTGTTTCGTTGTGTATCATTTTAATGTTTAGATTTAGTACATTTTACAAAGAATATTAATATATTTTAATTGTACCATTCAAAGGTAGGTACCACTCCAGTGTTTTTTTTTTCTAGTTTGTCATGATTCTAATTCGAATGCGTTCTTTGGGTCTTACTGCTGACAAATATCACAAATACATTTATTTTAAACATTGCTTTTATTTGCCTCTATCTACGACCTGCACACGTCTACATATTCGACACATTCTTTCTGATATTCTTTCATTACTATTGTTATGAAATTTCAATCTGTACTTTCTATTTCTCTTCTATCTCACAGGTGAAACTCGGAAACTGAATTGTTAATAGTTAACTTATTCCTCTGCTAAGCACAACTTTACTATGTGAAACGCATTACATCAAGCCTTGCTAAAAAAAAATAACTATCAAGGCCAACAAAGCATCAGACAACCACACAAAAATATCAGAGCATAACTAAAAAAATCACACACAAAAGTCAAGGCTAAAGGAACAAAGACCACCCAAAGGAAAAAAGAGCCAAATTACAAAACACGTCAAAAAAAAGAATGAAGCGCTCTTCTCCGGGAATTGGAAAAAAAAGAAAAAAAAGAATGTTTAAAAAGTGCTATTTTCAAAATAGCATAAATATATCAATAATAAGCATAAACTTATACAAATACAGGGATTGTTCCACAAAAGTCTTGTAATTTAGTTTCACATTGTAAGTTTAATTACAGAATGGATTTTCAAACAACATGAGATGAGGCTACACCTGTATGTGAAAGCCAGATCCCTTCAGACTTCTGAAGTTAAGCAGGGCAGGGCCTGGTTAGAACTGGGTTGGGAGACCAGGTGCCACAGTGGGGCGGTTGTGGCTGTAAAGTGCCATACTGTTGTTGTGTCCTTTGGCAAGACACTTCACCCAGATTAGCATGAGTCTGGTGTGTGTGTGAATGATTGGTGGTGGTGGAAGAGGCCGATGGCACACATTGGTTGCCTCGCTTCTGTCGGTGTGGTGCGTTATCATCTTTTTATTCTAATTTTCCAAGTTTCACCTATATTTAATTTGTTTTCTAAGCATATCGTTCATTTACAATTTTGAAGCAAGCAAAAAAAAAAAAAAGCTCTCCTCATCCGAAGCCTCTCTTAAAAGTGTTTACATGACCTTGAACTACTGGTAAACATGTGCCTACTTTTGCTTCCCATTGCTTCTGACTGTGCTACTACCACATGTATAACCTTCGCCGTGGGCCTTGTCTATTGTTCACCACGACTTGCATCATGTGGCTCAGCTTTATCAAACGTCGCTCTGCGCTGTGGGTACGCGCATGTTTAAGCTTTCATACACTGCAAAAGACAACAGCTGGATGAGTAGAAAAAAATACATCAATGAAAAATGTGTTTGCTTGATTTGAATACAGGCTATTCAAGTTTTATTCTTTCAACGACAGGCAAAAATGTGACACTGCTCCATACAGGACATTATCATAACACAAGATTTTGATGATGTTTTTTGCAGTGTACCTGTTGTAGACCTCCTTCTGCAGCCACTGAGTGCATGATATATTTCATTATACTAAGCGAGATTGCACGGATCAGTCCTAAAAAAAAAAAACTGACAGCAATTTATTTCCAGCTGAAGTTGATTAAAAAAGCTAAAATATTAACCTTAAATTTTGTCCTCTATGACCAATAGGTTGCGTTCATTTTAACTCAAATATTTTCCAAGATCATTATTGTTAGTGATTAGATTCATGCCATAATGTTCTGACGTGTGGAAGTCCCTTTTACCGCCACCATCAGCATATCTTTTGGTATATTGTCACTACTGACTGGCGGATCGGTGCAGTGATGTGGTCGCTGTATTGGACCGTTGTGGTAAAGACGGGGCTGAAGGAGACCAGGGGAAGACTCAGGACAGGTTGGAGGGACTATGTCTCTGAGCTGGCATGGGGACGCCTCAGGATTCCCCCGGATGAGCTGGAAGAAGTGTGTGTGGAGAGGGAAGTCTGGGCGTCCCTGTTTAGACTGCTGCCCCTGCGACCCAGCCACGGATAAAGCGGAGGAAAATGAATAGATGGAGTATTGCCACAACTTCTCCAGCCCTTTTATAATAAGATAATTCGACTCCCCCACCACAATTTTAAACAATCAGATTTTTCCGAATGTCAAATGAACGCAACCTGTTGTGATTCCACAATTAGCCAAACCACTATTTCTACTAACAAACTGCAAGTGATTTTTCAACAGAAATGGGCTGTAGTTTGTCCTTGTAATCATACAATTTTTTCTTGTGCAATTTCTGATAAGGAGCAATATCTTTTAAGAACATAACAATTAAATGATTTTGTAAGAATTGTGTAAGAATGACACGTCCTGTTTTTAATGAGATTGGTCTGTTGCCCCTGGTAACTGCAGGTGTTAGTGAAAACTATACCTCAAGCAAGTTCAGCACAAAAAGCAGAAAGACGATCTGAGTCTGAAATATTGATGAGACTGCACATTCATTTTTTATAAGCTCCAGGAGGGAGTTTTTCCTCAGTGTTTTCTTTTTGATACAACAACGTTCTGTTTTTTTGGTAATGTCTTGAGTAATGCCTTAGCAAAATGGAACGCCCAACAGATGGTACAAAACAGACACAAGTTGTCGAAGCTACAAACATCAAGCTTTTAAAACTATTTTCTTCTGTACCTGAATACGCACTGTGAACTCATGTGACACGTCATGGACTTAAAACCTTTTACACAATTACACAATGTTTTTCTGTCTGTATATGTAAGAACACAGAGGGCTTTCTTGTTTAGCATTGTGATGTACATTTCCAAACTGTAGTGCCTGTCCATCTGCAAAAATAAAATGAAAAACAATGGCTAAACCCAAAAAACTGTTTTGCCTATTGTGGAACTGTATCAGGCTTTACCAGTAGAGGGCAGTGTTGACAAGATGTCTCTGATGCTGAATACATTTTAATCACTTTTTCACCCTAAAATGTATATATTTTGAACAAGAAAAATATTGCCATTTAGACTTTCTTTTTTACATTGTTTGGTCATTTATTGAAAGCGATCAATCTGACTTGACTGGAACAGGCATATGTCAACTCCTGAAGGTCTGTGAGAGGTGTAATTCAGTTACTCAATTACTCCTTTGTCTCTAGTAAAACGTTAACTCTTTAGAGCAGTAAAATGACAAAGCCAAATGTTATTATTGTTTGATGTTAAAACGATTTATTTTTTTTATTTTTTTTAGAAATTATGTAGCGTTTAGAACATTGAAGGTATATAGTAGACGCTTGCGGTAAATATTTCTTTGAGGGTACAGATGCAAAGAAAGACCTTTACTGGTGCAAAATACAACAAGACAAATGATAAAAGTGACTGTTAAGCAGGAATTAGGCACAAAGCAGAAATAAGGCAAATCAGCGAGGTCCAAAAACTGTGACTCCACTCCACCACCCACCTGTGCCTTTTGTGGCCTCGTGCCAGAATCCTGGAAAAATGTGCTAAATAATACATTCTAGTCAAATAAAAATACAGAAATAATAATTACCTTTAGCGGTAAATTACTAAAAGGAAAATACAACAAGTATATCCAATTTAAACATTAGCCAACATATTCTAATAAATTCCCAAATAACAAGATTAAATTTTTAATCACATGATAATACAAAACAAAATAGAAGTATATTCTAAAAAAGAAAAAGTGTGTATAGGCTCCTACTAAGTTGTTTGTCCCAGTAGAAAGGTATTGTTCCAGTAATATTTTGTGAACAATTAAAACCACAATATTATTTGAAAATAATAATCAAATATTAAGGCTGAGTGAGTTGTCTCCTTCTCACTGAAAAGCACATCTGAAGATATAACAGGGGTCATATGGAAAAACTACTGATGGAACCAAAGTGTTTTGAGTAAGTAAGTAAAGTTTATTTGTATAGTGCCTTTCACAGACCAGAATCACAAAGCGCTTCACATTTAAAACATACAAATAAAAATAATACACATAGAAGTCAGAAGACACAGAAGACGGTCCTCATCATGAAGAGGCCTTTGTGCAGTGAGGAGAGAAAGCCCGTCTAAACAAATAAGTCTTAAGTTGGGACTTGAAATCATCAACAGACTCTGACAGAGACTGGGGAAGCTCACTCCAAAGGTGAGGAGCAACTGCAACTCTTGAGAGCTAGGATCAAGTTACATGATTTGTATTAAATAATTTTTTTGTTGTGATTTGAAAGTTAGGTACTATAGCTTTAAAGTGTTTCAATGTCTGAACCATATAAAAATTGCTAAATAAAAATGGGTCAGCCATCAGCACCAACCGGTTACATACAACAGAAATGTTGTAAACTTGCACAGACATGCCATTAGTCTTTATGCTCAGACGTAGGTCAACAAACTATACTAAGGTTCTGAATTCAGACCTCATGAACCTCAACACCAACTGTTAGACCTAGGACCTGAAGCACTGTGGGGCAAGTCAAATAATCAGTGAAACTCAGCATAATGGAGAAAATGTAACTCAGCAGAACAACACAAATCTCACATGCGTCTGAAGATCAGTTGATATGATAATTCTACATGTCCTGTTATATAATGGCATATACTGTAACTGTACCCTACAGATAATGATTAGAAGACGACAATGCTTTTTTTTGTTCACGCAAATGATAGACCAGTTCTAATAACAGACTGATGGATTGACATGTAAACTAAACCGCAGTTTGGAAGGAAGTGGGTGTGGTGTAATTACCTGTCACACGGGATGGCACATCACATTCATAATTAGAAATCCAATAGTCTATATACTGAGCAATTATTAGTAATATGCTGCGTCAGCAATTTCATAAAGGACTGCGTCAGCAATTTCATTTATATTAAACAAGCAGGACATAACACACGCTCAATGAAATTTTTTGATGGAGTAAGTAATAATAATAACAATAATGCATCAGTTTTATATATTACTTCTCATTTCTTTATGCTTTCACTTCATACACAGTGGTGATAAACTACTACTGACTCTGCTGCCCTGGGGCACACTGACAGAAGCAAGGCAACCGGGTGTGTGCCATCGGCCCCTCCGACCACCACCAATCACACACACACACACACACACACACGCGCACACACACACACACGCGCACACACACACACACACACACACACACACACACACACACACACACACTCTTTCCAGCCAATGTGAGTGGCGTGCCTTGCCTAAGGACAACAACAGTTTGGCAATTTTCCCACTATGGCACCTGGTGTTGCCAGAGGTCTCTCATCAAAGTACTAACCAGGCCTGGCCTAGGTTATTATCAGAGGTCTGACGGGATCTGGGTTTTACATGCAGGTATGGCCAAAAGTAAGTCAAATGTTTAAAAAAAAATTTAAGAAGTCATTTTTACTGGATTTAATAAGTGTGTATAAGGCAAAAACAGATGCACATTATTCAATACAAAAAAGAAAAGGCTCAACTCATTACAAACTAGTAAAAACTGTACAAAATAGTGTATAATCTACATACAAAACAACTGGGTTGTAACCAGTCTATTCAAATATAAAGCAATAAAAAATACAAATTGAATTTTTTTTTTCAATACATTTTTCCGAGGAAGTGCCCTGCTTTTTATGGGCGAATGACAAGTGTTTTTTATTTACTGTGCAGACACCAAGCCCAAAAAGGAAGCAACACAATTATCATAGCCCCAATTCTCAAGAAGGAAAACGGGTTCCTAAACAAACAGAGGTGATGTTTGAGATGATATGCAGAGATAAAAACAAGCGGCCGTGGGCCGTGCTCCTGAGGCTCTGAGGTTACAGCCGTTACCTCGTCTGATGAAATATGATTTATAGTGTAGTGCAAAAAGGAAACTTTTACATACAATTTAATGGGGAAAAAAACATAAAATGATTATTTGTTTGTGCGAGACAATGCCTATTATTTACTGTTATTTATACTTTGAAGCTGAAAATATACTTCACGCTAAATTATTCAGCAATAAACAATGTATTGAAGTTCAAGCGCAATAGTAGTTTGAGACAACATTTCTTCAAAGGAACTCGCCTAAAATCTCACATTTATGCATTTACTACAAGCTTGATTACAAACACAAATATAACTAAAAATCTACAATAAATTTGTAATGTACACAATGTTTTATTTAAAGTAAAAAAATAATATTAGAAATCACCGTAGCAAATTATTTGCAGGTGAAACTTTGAGAATTAGAATTTTTCAGAGGATCATTTTCTTCTGTATTTCAACGTAAAATATGAATCTAACGTATGACATAGACCAGGGATGTCAAAGTCAAATACAGAGGGCCAAAAAAACAAATTTGCCTCAAGCCGAGGGCCGGACTGGTTCAATGTTTTTAAAAACATTAAAATGATTGCATATAACCTATTGATCCAAGACCTGACACAGTAGACAATATTAATTTCATGATTAAATGAATAATCCAATGTTTTTGTATGGCTTTGTCAGTAATTTCAAGTGATTTTTTTATCAACAGGCTCACAAACAAAAACAAACTTCCTTCAAACAGGAAACACATGTCCTGTACATAAAATTAATAATCCAATATTTTCTTATGACTCTGTGCGGCCGGTTCTAATACTAATCAAATATCATTCTTGGGGCCAAGATAATTAATTTGCGGGTCGGATCTGGCCCTCAGGCCTTGACCTTGACCCCCATGATATAGACCAAAGTTGGGCAGCTATTTTCTTCAGGGGGCCTCATTTATCTAGCCTGGCTCTTCCAGACCTTTGTAGTTCCGCCATGCTCCAGCAGAGGCGTTGTGAAGGGCAGCAAACTACATGGGTCATGGCGAGAGTCAGGATATCATTTATCGCCCTTTTGTGGAGGGCCAGACCTATTTTCATTTGGTTGATTTTTAATTTAATTTAGCAAAAGGCATTTCAGAACATAATTATGAAGATATACAGCCTTCTGTTTGTGGACATTTAGTTTTGAGTAAATTATAGCTAACAGCATTATTGAGCACAGGATAAATCTATAACATGCCATGTTAGCACATATTACGGGGAAACCGGAGCACCTGGAGGAAACCTATGCAGACACAGGTTCCACTCGAAACTCGTTAAATATTGATGATTATTGCTTACAATTCCTATTTTTTTTTAGATGTTTTAATTGGAGATTTTACAAGCTAATTTACAAGCCATTTACCAACCCACAATTTGCATGTACTCGGTCCGTCACAGTAAGCTGAACTACAGAAGTAAATTGACTTTTTATTCAACAATATTCTAATATTTTCATGACACATGATATACTGTAAATCTGAACTAATCTTTGGTCGTATTTGAAACTGTCTTTTGTGTTTGTATTCACCACACGTCTTAGTGCAGTGGAGTTGGGTTGGTCAGTGCATTGTTGGTCCTCCTCTTCCTCAGTCTTTTGCTGCGGTCGCTCTTCCTCACACCGGGCGGACAAACTGATACACCAGTCTCTGGGACACGTCTGGTTTGCGGATGATCCCCTTCTTGTAGTACTGTCGAATGGAGCGGCTCAGCTTGTCATAGTTCATGGCCGGCCTGTTCTTCCGGAGGCCCCAGAGTCTGGCCACGTGAGCCGAGTCTTCTATCTTGAAAATACCTGAAAGAAGGGGATCCCAACATTATGGTATGGTACGGTATGGTATGGTATGGTATGGTATGGTATGGTATGGTATGGGCGGCACGGAGGTGGAGTGGAAAGCACTCTCGCCTCTCAGCAAGAAGGTCCCGAGTTCGAATCCCGGTCGCAACAGGGCCTTTCTGGGTGGAGTTTGCATGTTCTCCCTGTGCCTGCTTAGGTTTCCTCGGGGTACTCCGGTTTCCCCTATACACTAAAAACATGCACAATAGTTCTGGCATGCGACCCCGCTCCCATCTCTGTGTGGAGTGAGAGGACAAATGCCCAAAAAATAACAATTGTAAACCGCTTTGTGACTCTGGTCTGTGAAAGGCGGTATATAAATAAATATTACTTACTACTTACTATACTATGTATGTATTAGCTTCACATGTAACTTACAAAAGTAAATGGACTTTTGAACAATATTCTAATTTTTGAGTTTTGCCTGTTTCACATTTTCACTGTAGAAAGTGATGAAAAACAAGGCAAACGGTGCAAAAATCTTAATATTGAGTATATTTTGACTGCACTAAAACAAGATTTTCCAATGGGACAAAGCAAAATTGTCTTGTTTTAAAAAGATACAAGAAATGTCTCCCTTGGATTGAGAAAACAAAGCATCAGATATTGAAAGAAGACTAAATGGCTTTCTCCCATCGGCAAATCTTGTTTTAAGACACTTAGAATGTTCTCAAATTAAGATAAAAACCACTCGATTAAAGCAATTGTTACCTCGTGTTTTATGAAATAGTCATAGTTTAAATACTGTACCTTTTTCTTTATTAAGCCAACGGATGCAGCGGCCATAGTTGTGCGGTTTCAGAAGAAGTTCTTTAAGAAATTGCCACAAATGGATGGGCTGTCCAGAAGAAGAAGAATCTGCCTCGGACCATCCTGCAGTCACTGAAAACATGACACAGATAAGTTCAACAGTTACACAGTTCTTATATGTTATTATACAGTTATACACGCACGCACACACACACACACACACACAGTATCTACCACTAGGTACACTCTGATTTACTCCGAGAAATAGTTAAATTCATATGAAAGCTGGAGTACCTGACTTTGAAACCACAGAAACATAACTATGTGATGACATTCATGTAACTGGTTCCTAAAACAGTTTGGTTCAATCAATAGTTTTCACAAGCGTCAGCATTTTCAGCCAATCAACTCTTAAATAAAAAAAAATTCCAATAATAACGGGATTGTTTGATTCATTCACAAAATGTTACTGAAATAAGATATATTTCTTTTGGGGGGAAAAAACACAACATATACACAATCTATGAAACAAGAAATAGCTCATTTTTAAATTAAATGAACAAACAGTTTTGATGGTTTTTCAGCAATCACTGTCACTGTCTCAAATGTATTATTATTATTTTATAAACACTTATGGACAACGGTCATCTGCCCCGTTTTATTGTTTTGATTCTCTAATCTATTTTGGCAAATTCAACGGTTGTGTAAAGTCCACCGAGAAAACTATTGTAATACAACAGTAGAAGGGCTGTACAAAAATAAATTAAATTGAATTGAATTGAAAGAAATATTCTTGAATGATTAAAACAATGATACTGTAGATACGCACCTTTGGTATCTGCCACGGTGCATCTTTCCTTCATCCAAGCGGCTGCATGCAAAAATACATGTTTTAGTTCCTTTAATAGTTTATAATCAGTGTGGCCGCACGTGGAGGTCCCTCATACCTGACTTCCAGATGTCCAGATGAGCGTGGAGTGTGTCTCCACTGTGGGGGGACCGCTGTTGAAACTCCTCTTCGCTCATGTCACACAAGTCTTTCCCTGACAGCTCCTGGAAGACTTTCCCCACGTGAGGCAACCTGTACAGGTGCTCCGTCCACAGCAGCCACTTCTGAACGTGACTGGTGTTCCACTCGAAGGGGTCTGTGGGACACCAGAGGGACACATGTTAGTGATGAGAGTTCCTGCATATGCTCTAGGACGAGGGCTGTGCTAAAAAAGGGTACATAGATACATTTTGAATTTGTTTTTTTTTTTAACACCATGTGATACAGATTCCAAATAACATAAATTACTATGTACAACATAGTAGTACAGAATATATTCTTGCTTCTTTTAGATTTTAGACTTGCTTCTTTATGAAGCTAAAGCCAGAGATGTTATACTTGCTTCTTGGAGATTTTATTTCATTTTATCTAATTTTAAAGTTATTATTGACTTATCTTGTGCTGTGTACTCCTCGTTCCTATTTTTCTGTAACTGGTAATGCAACACTGACATTTACAAATAAATGGACAAATAAAGGATCTCTTTTAAGTGCATACAATAAAAATTGACTCCCCGTTTTTTATCTAAATAAATATTTTAATTAAATTAACTTAAACGGATTTAATATACATGCAACAATCTGTTTTTTTCATTTATTTTATTTTGTGAACGGAGCTAGATACAGTGTCAAAAAATCTTTTATCTTCCATTGAAACGTATCATATCTGGTGATGATCCAGGACACTCAACATTCAACGACATTTATGGGCTTTATCAACATTTATGGACATTAGTCATCTGCCCCTCGCCTGGTCGTACCACACCATAGTACAAATTACATGCAGGGAAATGATGACTGACCGGAGTGTACGGATGGATAAGGCCAGGCTAATCTGCCCCTTATGAACCAATTTGGCCAATGCATTTCTTGTGAACGGTTTGATTTCAGATCTGTGTTGGCGAATTCGACACTTTTGTAAGGTCCTTCGAGAAAACTACCGTTGTGATTCAGGGCTATACAAAACTAAATCGAATTGAATCATTTGAGTACAACATATTGAATTATAGTGCATTAAAAGTTCCTGTATATATCGAATGGGCAGGCTTTGAAAGACACCCATCCCTATTGATGACTGTGGCGAGCGCTCTAATTAAAACTGCGGTGAAGGGAAAGCAAAGATGATTGTTATCAGAAGACGTGCCCAGGGTTTTCACGCGTTTATGATGTTGAAAGTGCACGATGCCAAGTGCTCTCTCTGTTGACTTTAGCAGCCGCATGGACCTCACCCTTGAGACTTGTGTACACACCTATTGGCTGAAGCATCAGTTACAGAGCAGCAGAACACTTGTAAAGGTTAGGATTAGACAGATCCTGCTGCTGACAAATATGGCTGTCGCTGCTGGAATAAATGTGAACTGTTATTTTTCTTTAGTCACACTGCAGTTTCTGTTACTCGAGCTTCACCACATATACTTTATATACTACACATTCAATTCAGATCAATTCTAGGCATTTCTGTATAGCCCTAAATCCCAACAGTAGTTATCTACTTGTAGGACTTTACAAAACTGTCGAATTTGTACAGATCAAAGATTCAAGCAGTTCCAACACAAGAAATGCAATGATTAAAACACATAGAGCCATTGGTCCATAAGGGGCACATGACCAATGTCCATAAGACCCTCCTACATCGGCAAAGAAAAACTCAAATTAAAAAAACACATACTTTACAAATATATGGATAAAAGTACATACTGTATACTTTTAACTACGCTGTAACTTTGTCTTTAATAAATGACATCATTTGATGACATGTCATGTTTGTAATGGAGGATTTTTAAATTGTGTAAAGAAAGAGTCTCAAAGGTTTTGTGGTCTGCGTTTGCCTGACATCTGTCATATGGTGCAATTTTGAGGACCCTCTAAAACAACATGGTGAATCTCAAGGGATTCATCGTCCAAATAAATAAAAAAATTAAGTTAGGAATGTAGATTGAATACATACGTAATTGTGGTTTTTCAGATTAAAACATGTATTACAACAATCACATTTCACTGTGTTACTTTGATGGTAGTAACATATTCTGTTCACATGGATAATTATTATCAGGGAGATATTTCTATTTGATGTTGATTTTCTGTCTGTATCCACTTGAATTAAGGTAAATCAATACTTCCTTAAAAAAAATGAGCATTAACAAGTCTTATGTTAAACATAAAAAATTATCTCAAATCCATATACATTATTTTCATCCACTGATTTACTTCTTTGTCGACATTTTGCTGTGTGCCTTGTATATTTTACTACATGCAACATAGTTAATAATTGAAGCTCAATATTTCAAGCCCTTGCCATTTGCTCAATTAATCAAATTGATATGATTACAATATATTTTGCAGCCCTTAAGTGACAATGATTTTCTTGAGTTCAAATACTGTATATTTGATTGAACAATTGCTGTTTTTTTTCTTTTTGGTGCACTTTGGCTTGTGTTGCTACATCTGAAACTTTTGGCTAGTGAATAGGGCAGTGGTGAGGATCCAGGACACTCACCATTCAATGACATTTACCAGCATTTACGGACACTGGTCATTTTGTTGGACGGTTTTGTTAAGTCCTCCGAGAAAACTACTGTTGTGATTTAGGGCTAAACAAAAATAAATGTAATTGAATCGTTGTCTCTCTAAATATTTTTTTTTTGCCAGGGATAGAAGAACATGAAGGTTACCTGGTGTGATGTTGAGAAGTTTGCAGGCTGTTTCGATGTCTTTGAGCACCTCTCCCACCACCATGCTCTGCACTTGCTCCAGAGAACGGTCATCCTCTTGCTCGTCTATCTCACAGGACGGGGACAGGCCCTGCTCCTGGCTGTCGATGATCGGACACTGTTCCGGCTCCTCTCTGGGCTCCAGCAGAGTCAGAGGAGCCACCGACGCTGGAGACGCCTCCGAAACTTTATCCAGACTGAGAGCGTCCTGTGTGAGCAGCATGTCAAAGCAGGACAGGTACAAACTAGAGACACCGCTACGTTCCACAATGTTGATGTTTTCTTTGGTGTTGTCCAAGTCCCATCCAGAAGAAGACCCAACAGAGTGATCCAACAGAGTGAGGGAGTTGTCTGTCGAGGCCATCCGAGAGAAATACGAGTCCTCGGCTAAACTTCTGTCACAATTTGACATCACCTACAAAAACAGGAATTATTTAGCAACAATTTGTGCTATATCTATCATGACCACGGTCCTAGGAGCCAATACTGAAGCTGAGAGGAGAGACCTGCTTACTGCTTACTTCTCAAGAATCCCAAAACCTAAAAAGATACTTGTGCAATGACCCTTTTGAAATGTATAGCACACCCAGAGTTTAAAGGCAAACTGTGTCTGCTTCGAGTGTTATTTAAGGGTCATTTCCCCAGAATAGCTTAACTCTCCAGGGAAGATGACTTGTATTGAGAGCTTGGAACCAGCAAGGCCACCTGCATGCACTTTCAAGGTGGCAAGTCTGCAGTCTTCAGTCTCCACTATCAGCCGGGGGCTTTTTAATCAAATTCAAGTTAGATGATGTTGAGTTGATGTGTGCTTAAATGTCCAGGAAACATCCACGATAAGTGCTGCTTTATGAAGATTTATGGGAGGGTGACAAGTGTGGTAATCTCAGGGCAAACTTGTAAGTCTGTGTACCAGTCGCAGATGGCATATGTGAAGGCACACGGCTGAATGACAGTGCGCTATCAGGAACAGACCGTAAATGTGATTTTAGAGTCACACAGCACATGTTCAAGATGAGTATTTAAAGATAAAAAGTTATAGCCTATAAAAAAGAAAGTGTTTTGCATTAATATAGTCATTACTGGACTTCACAATTCAAACACGTTGCAGGCTCATAGTTGTAAAATAAACACCTTAAAAATTGCTGAGTATCCAGTAAGTTAAACTTGACTTTACTTACTTTACCTTTGTTAAACTAAAATTTACTTTGTCATTTCATGTTTTAGAATGTGAAATGATATCTATTGTTGGACACATACAATGAAACAAGTATCAAGGATAAAAAAAAAGCTTTCCACCAGTAACTCTCTATACTACCACTAGAGGGCGGAGTTGAATTTGTTTGGTTTTTCACAAATTTGAAAATTACCGGCCATGTGATTGCCAAAACTAATTTAGATTAGATTAGTCAGAACAATGCAATGAAATGCATTTTAGCAACAAACCAGTAATGCAACAGAGCAAAGGATAAAATGTATTATCGGAAGTCCTTGTGTGATCTTAATGTTTGTTTGTAATGCCCCGTGAGATTTTAAAGGAGCAATATGTAAAAGTCTTTCCAAAAGTGGTACTGCACACGCTCTGACTCAGGTTGCCAGATAGGCAGACGCATTAAGTTGGGACCACAATAACTGAATAGACAAGAGTTTTGTCAACAACAACTCTATAATCAAATCCATCTATTTTCACAAAGGCCCCGATAGAATTCTTTTTTCCCCCCTTGTTTTGTAATTAAAGATTTGAGAATCAAAACAAGACCTTTTTTTTGTTCTGCGGCAACATGTTACTTTACCAGTGAGATTAGCTCTATGCGGTGAGTTCTGGCAACCCAGAGTTCTGGATCACAGACTTTCTGATTGGTAAAAAGGTGGAGGGAGGGACATAAGATTTTGGGGGCTGTAAACCTAATGTTGAAATTTGAATATCTCGGCTGAACGGTTATCAGTTAAAGAAGTATTAGAAAAGACCATGGTTTATTAAAGCCTTTTGACAGATTAGGGCCATTTAATGATGACTTGACATGAATATCTTACATATTGCTACTTTAATTTATGTTTTATTTTTCTCTTTAATGCCGTATTTTTAATGTTTATGATTGAGGCCTTTCCTTGTGTAGGAAAAGCACTTTACAAATAAAGGTTGATTGATAATATTTACAGCACAGATAAATATATACAGTATGCAGATATGTGAGACTGTGCAAAGCTGCTATTGCATGTACTGTAAATACATGAATTACATTAGATTAATTTAAATTACATCAAACATTCTTTAACAAGGTGATGGACAATACTTATTTTAAAAGGCAGAAAACATTTCCTGTTTGCACATTTCTGGACTTTTTGCTCACCCTGAATGATCCTATTTATGCCAAATGTGACATGTATATGTCTCCATTGTGAGATCATCATCATCATTATCTTTTATGGATTTAAACACGACTCCAAGTCTGTTTTTTGACGAGGGAAAAATGTTGCACCATCGTTAAAAACCCTTTAAATAAGTTGTCTAAACCGCTCTATAGAAAGATCTCACTTCTGGTCTTTAGTGCTTCACCCCCCACTGCAAAACCTCTGCCCAAGGCGCTTTTATCTCAGAGTTTCTGGTAACCGCGGACCACACTTTCTTAGCTTCCATCAGGAGTGGGATGAAAAGCCACTGGTATCCCGTCCTGACTGTGTCAACTCCGCTCTGTAACAGCTTGCACTAAGCCCATTAGTAAGGCAAATTTAGCCATATTACCCTGGTCCAAAAGGAAGAAGGGGCACAAGAAAGAGACACAAACACTCTCCCCCCACAGAGAGGGATTAGGGAAGTGACTGATCTCTAAATGAGTTTGGTCAAGACGACGATATTCATTTTAGTGGCATTAGAGCTGCACCATTTACTCAGCAGAGTCAACCTTTGACAACAGCAGGTCTGGGAAACATTTTCACTTCACCGAGAACACATGAAAAGATAGATTTTAGACTTGATTCTATATTACGTTAAAGCTTAAGATTTTATACTTGCTTCCTTATTATTATTCTTGAAATATCCCCTCTGTGGGACAAATAAAGGATCTCTTATCTTATCTTCTTTATTATTCTAAAGTCAGATGTTATACACTTCATTCTGGCTTCCTTATTATGCTAAGTTTGAGATTTTAGACTTGCTTCTTTATTATGCTAAAGTTAGAGATCTTATGTTATTTTAGTATTGCGTCATTGTTCATTTATCTAGTGATGTGTGCTCCTCATTCCTACTGTTCTGTAACTGGAGATGCAAAACTGACATTGCCCCACTGTGGGGCTAATAGATATAATAGGGGCTAAAAATCTATTACTTAATCTACTGCCAGATAAGTGTTTATAAAGTTCACAAGTAGTGACCACCTAAAGTCTGCTATATGGTGCCTACGTCTGGTCATATAACACTTTGAGAGGGCCTGGAGTGACTGATCCTACTTCAGAAATCCTTGTTTGAGAAGTGTGCACATCCAGGCGTGACTGTTTACCAGGTCAGCGTTAGAAGGAGATTGTTTTTTTCCTCCTTATTGTTCCTCGTGGGAATAAGGATGCGTCACAAACTTTAATCCTTGTGCTAAATTAAATGTTGACAGAAGGCAATGTTGATTGTTTTATGCCCAAAAGTTTCAGTCTTCCAGTTCCAGTCAAATCATTCATAGAGATGAAGAGATAATCTCAAATCTAGATCAAGGTGAAGTCCTTTTTAAATAAATGCATAAAAATGTACATCATACAAAAAAAGAAGCCAAATAGCTCAATATCTCTAAAAAAAGTATGTTTACCATATTCAAATGGCACTGTACAATAAATAGGTTCAGGTTATAAGAAATATAATTAATTGGGTCACGTTTCAGGATTCTGTGAAATAAATTACAAAATAACTAAGCCTCCATTCAGGCTTAGCAATTACCCAATAGAGTTGTCACAATAATCAAATTACAAACTTGATCCAATCACTAGAAAAATAAACTCAATATCAAATTCAATACCACAGTGATAATCTTAAACATAACATTTCTTGAAGCAGTATTTAATATGAAGTATATTATATTTATAAGGTTTTTTAGTAGTTCTGAGATAAAAATCATTCCGACTGCCCAGAGAATCTCAGGATTTGTCCTGTTGTTAAGATTTTTGTCAGAAAATATTGATATTTCCAAATATTAGTATACAGTTTTGATACTAGTTTTAGTAATCTGGTTTTTAAAAACATTCTGAATTTCCTAGTATATCTTATACGTATGACAACCTTGTGAGACTAAAATAGTCTCATAAGCCTATAATGCAACTAATTGAATTTTGAAGGATGCTTTAAAATGTGAATTAGGTTTTGGGTTATTTTGATTTAACACTGTATGTTTTACAGTGAAATTTTGTAATGTGAATTGTGGAGTGGACCCCAGAAAAACTGTAGAGACCAGTTTTAAAGTCTCGTTTTAAAGTTTTAAAGGGGATCCAAATACATAAATATTTATCTTTTTATAATATAATAATATAAATATTTATCTATTTATAAACAGATAAATAAACATGAATGAAGCGTGTCTTACCAGTGATGCTCTGGTGAAATGGTTTGGTCCTGTGCTTGTCTTCACACTAGACAGCGATCAACACAGAATGTACTAATGATGACTAGTAAAAGTGAGCTCAGGGACTTGTCACTTAGGCCCTCCCAGACTCCCAGGAGGAGAATCCAGCTTCGCCTATGCACACAGCCTAGAGCAAAACTGCAAACTGATCCAAAAGAAAGCACCTGCTGGAGGTGTGTTCACAGCAGCACCAGCACTTGTGGAGTGAAGGAATTCCAGAGCCATCTCCTGCAATTTATATTTGTAAAGAGCTCTAAGCAAGATGGAACTACCGCCAAAACTCTTTCCTTTTTAAAATAAAGGGCCAGTCAGCGTAAAGCAGAAAAAAATTGGACCGATGCAAAATTTGCAGCTGCAGAATCACTCAAATTAAATAATATATTTTTCAGTATGACAGCCAAACAACCTAATCTCAAATATCTCATATATTTATGCTTTCAAATCAATCGATCAATGATTCAACCTGATAGCCTTGTGGGGGCCTTGCTGCGCCTGTGTGTTTGGCGTCCCGCTTTTGTCATCACCCTGTGTGTAGAGAGAACTGAAAAATATCTGAACTTTCAACAATTTTGAAGTGCTCTGAGAGACCTTGGTCTGTAAGGATTAGTTACCGTAACGATCGCATCAAGTTTAATCAACAAAAACTTGGATGGAACTGGAATGAGGGATGATATACACTAGAATTCTGAGAGAAGTCAATATGACGGCTTTTCATTTTGGAAGTGTAATTATTTTCAGACTGGTTCAGAGCAATGCCAGCTTGGAGCAAGTGCTTGTTACCATAGCAACAAACTGTTTACTTGCCACAGTTAGTATT